CTGAAGTTTACCCATCACCGACTCTACTTTCCAAAGAATAATTTCTTTTGGCAGAAAGCCACCCAAATTGGAACAAGGGTCTTTCTAAAACATTTTCTTTGTTCACTTGCAAGGAATACAAGGAAGGGAGAAAAGAACTAAAGGATAAAGAGATGATGTGCTTGTTAGGAGAGCATTACAGAAGTCTAAATCCCTGCAGATATCAGAGCCCTTGTCATGCATTGGTTTAGCTGTTCTATTTTTAAGCTTTCTGTTTTGCAACAGAAAGCTATCATTAAAATTTCCCTTTGCAGAGTGCTTTCGCAGCAAAATATTGTAACATTTCCCAAATTATACTCATTTAGTTTCTTGCAGTGGTGGAAAAGAGGAGACCACAAACACACCCACAAATGAGATTTATAATTCGAACTGGCACTCTTGAGGATGGGTCTGCTTGTAACACCAAAGCCATTTGGGACAGTCTTCGACTGAGGCTAACCATAGAAAAAATTATAATATTGAATACATACAAGTCGGCATTTATGGGGGAAGGCAGTGGCATATTATAATTCAGTAGAATGACTAGTGCTGCATCCAACTGACCAAGGAATGTTTTAAAGAGACCCGAATAAGACAGCACAACATCCAGTGCATCAGATTTTTAGAAAAATCTAACACAGATTATTGTGATTGTTAGCTGTTCTGCTTTCTGTAATCTATTTAAATTGTTCTAACCTTTTTATTGATTGTAAGGTACTTTGGATTCTTTTTAGATGCCAAATATTAAAAAATACTGAGTAAACTCTGTTATCAATGACCTATATTGATAACATAGTTTACTCAATATTTATTTATTTATTTAAACCTTTATGGATCCCCTGGTGGTGCAATGGGTTAAATCCTTGTGCCGGCAAGACTCAAGACCGACAGATTGGAGGTTCAAATCTGGGTAGAGTCAGCTCCAGTTCCCCATGTGGAGACATGAGAGAAGCCGCCCACAAGGATGGTAAAACATCAGGGCATCCCCTGGGCAACATCCTTGCAGACTGCCAATTCTCTCTCACCAGAAGTGACTTGCAGTTTCTCAAGTCACTCCTGATACACACACACACACTCAACCTATATCATGTAACCATGGCTCTAGTCATCTTAGCCAATGATGAAGAATGATAGCAGGTACAGTCAAGCAACATCTGAATACCATGTGTTCTTCATCCCTGTTTTTGAGAGCATAAGCAATTCCTTTGATCAAACAGCACACTTCTTTAATTTCCACACCTCCTAACATACAAGTGGAAGTGTTAAAATATTTTCTTGGCAGTGTACAAACTACTGATATGCTAGTATTTTATCAGCCTCTCCAACTTCTTTGTTGTCCCTTGCAAGTTTTTTAAAATGCAGAATTCATCCACTGTATCAAAATGTGCACAAAAAAATCCTTTAGAACTTCAGGCACCACAATACATGTCTCTGATTGCCATCCTTACTTCAGCTCCTGTTAAAAGTTTGACAATTTTGTCTGCTGCAAAGATCTTCTGATGTTACCACAAACCATGCTTTGCTTTGTCCAACAACCCTCAGTCATTTACATAATTTCTTAACATAGACACACCCTGGCTGTTCTCCAGTCTTTCCCAATGTGCATACTCTCTCATGTACTAATCCGATATTTCCCTTTGAAATATGCAGGATTGCTCATCTCTTCAAGTACTAGGGCTGGCCCTACTATTGGCTGAAATATTAGTCTTCGACAGCACATAGGAGCTGTGACTTCTGATACACAACAGGACATGAAAAGTGAATTCTTAGCTATTCCATTCATTTTTATTGTAATTTCATTGCTAGTGATACAAAATGGTATTTGAGGAATTTTCTGCCTACTGTGCCAAAACAACTCTCTAGGTTTAGATATTATGCTCTTTTATTTAAGGAGTAAAACTTTGCCTCTGACAGCCAAATGTTCTGGCTAGGTGAAAACTGAAAAAGTTCTCCTTCTTTCTTTCAGCTGCACATCTGAGAGCTGGCGCACATAAAGGAGAAGTAAGCTGCTCTCTTGTACACAATTTCATTTGAATGTTTCTCCACATCACTACAGACTTTTGAGCTTTGCAGAAACAATGGAGAAAAGTCAGCCAGATGGTGGCTAGAGTGTAAACAAAGCCCGTTGCATGGAGGAAAAGAGACGGGACATATTTATATGAAGGGTGTTATACAAATGCCTTAAACAAACAGACACACAAACACAGCAGATGGAGCATTTTAAAATGGGTTGTACTTGGCAGCTGTTGTACCTATGCAGACCTTTTCCAAAGAAGAGGCCCCAGGTCTGTTTACACATTCAAACTGGCTGTCGTACAAAAACAGTATCTATCAGCACAATACGAAATACAGCATCGTGCAGCTTGAGGCAGAAGTGGAATTTGCAGTTTCCTGGCTCTGTGTCCTGGTCACCTCCTGTGACTCAAAAAGGCTGAGGCAAGGAAAGTTTATCCACATGTTTAATTTATGCCCCTGTATCAGCTGTGGAACATCATTGCCTGACCTGGGTCTGCTTTGAAAGATTGGGGACAAGGGCATGCAGTTTGAGGAAATTATCTAATTAAGACTCCTAAGCAAGACACAAGAGCTCAAATCCTATATTTTCCAAACCACAGAAGAATTCTCTTTAAAAATACTTTCCCTTCAGTCAGCAGTCTCTTCATGCCATCGTCTCTCTCCTTTCCATTTGTTTTTTTTTAAATGAAACTCCTTCAGGATAAAGTCATTCTATACCCAAGAGTAAAGGGTCCTTCAAAAATGATATAATGCTAATGTTTTAGAGCTGTTCCACATAAAACTAATGCTCTGGTTTATGGTTTGCCTTCATATCAGTTTTTCCTTCAGTGGTGTCCTTGTTATAATGAGCTCTTCCAAGCACCACGACGCCAAATGGCAATAAATCAATGGTCAAATTGATGCAGTATCTATGATGCTCTACATAATCTGTCTATGCTTTGCTCAGCTCCCTTTATCTATAATCCATTGATTTTTTTTCATGTTAACAGTAACTTGAGAAACTGCAAGTCACTTCTGGTGTGAGAGAATTGGCCATCTGCAAGGATGTTGCCCAGGGGACGCCCGGATGTTTTACCATCCTGTGGGAGGCTTCTCTCATGTCCCCACATGAGAAGCTGAAGCTGACAGAGAGGAGGTCACCCCACTCCCTGGACTCGAACTGCTGACCTTTTGGTCAGCAGTTCTGTGGCACAAGGTTTAACCCATTGCACCACTGGGGGCTCCTCTGATAAGCAAACAGGAGAGAGCTGAGAACACTTTATGATTTCGTCAGATATGTCTGATAACATGTGGAAAACACGAAGGACAGGCACATTTTCTACAAGGGGCTCACTTCAGTATAGGAAATGACATGTAACCTGTACATGTGCATTCCTCTGTGAAAAGGAGATGTCTACCCCACTATGGATAACTAGTGATTACATTTTCACACAATGGGTTTCCACAGTTGAGAGGAGATCTGAATTAGAGTAATAGTGCAACATTCAGACCACTAAACTACATTGGTTTTCTATTTATTGCACATGGAAAAACAAAACAAAAATATTTAGATTCCAAAGAGTACTAAGATATTCTATTCATATAGAATGTTTGCTAAAACTACAATGCTCATTGCTCAGATTTTTTAAGCTGTTAACAATATCTCTTTTAAAATGGATATCTTATCTTCAGTATTCCTTTGTCCAACAACCCTCAGTCATTTACATAATTTCTTAACATAGACACACCCTGGCTGTTCTCCAGTCTTTCCCAAATTTGCATAATCAGATATTGCTGATCTTGAAAAAGTAACATCCATAACTATATTTCCAATGCTAGAGTTGGTACAGTAGGTTAAACTGCAGAGCTGCTGAACTTGCTGACCAAAAGGTTGGCGGTTCAAATCCGGGGAGCGAAGTGAGCTCCTGCTGTTAGCCACAGCTTCTACCAACGTAGCAGTTTGAAAATGTGAGTAGATCAATAGGCACCACTCCGGTGGGAAGGTAACGGCACTCCATGCAGTCGTGGAGTCATGACCTTGGAGACATCTACGGACAACGTTGGCTCTTCGACTTAGAAATGGAAATGAGCACCAGCCCCCAGAGTCGGACATGATTAGACTTAACGTCAAGGGAAAACCTTTACCTTTACCATTTAGGGTTGATTTTACCTTTAGCCCAACTCTAGTGGCACTTGATATTACGAATAGATTCTTTTCTATCATTTTCCTCCTTCACTAACAGAAAAACAGGCCAGATGCTTAATGTGCTTTTGCAAGCAACATCGCCATGTATTCCCTTTTCTCCTCTGGAGAAGCCTAATTCTCATAAGCAATCAGTAAACAATTTAGGAAATCCTTCTCTTAAGCCTAAATATTCTAAATAATGGTTATTTATACCATTTTATTGGAGTTTCAAAGTGACAGTAACTTTGGATACCCCAGTGCTCCCAGTAGTAATTCTAGGACAGTGGTGCACAACCTATGGCCCTCAAGTTGTTTGGGACTCAGACTCCCAAAAGTCATAGCCAGCTTGTCTAATAGCTTCTGCGAGCTGAAGTCCAAAACACTTGGAGGGCCACAAGTTGTGCAATACTGTTCTAGAACATGGTGTTTGTTTGTTTTTTTAAAAAAATGATGTTTGTACAAGTAGCAGCATTATTTTCAAGTGATCAAAATGACTCCTTCCAGCCTTTCTTTTTCAGTAACCTGAAGAATTATCAAAATGACTATCTCTCTAGGCTAAGAGATAAATGAGTTGCGTATCAAAGCATACATGGTCTGTGGCGCTAATGTTTGCCATCTTGACATGCCCAGCAAGTAGTATAGAAAAGCCACCTAATGCACACACAGCCTTGTTTCTGTTGTAGCAGAAACAAGGCCTAATCAAAACACACTCGCCACTTGCCAGTCATTCTTAGCAAGAGAAGCAGCAGCAGCAACCAGCACATGTGCCCTTCAAGGGACTGTGTTCCAGAAAGCAATTCACCTCGACTCTGCTGCCTGTTGACCATCCCTCCCAGTGTCCATCGTCGGTCCAAGCGTCTCAGGTGAGCCTTGCGTCTTTTAGAAACTATTTTGGAAAATGGATGAAAACATAAAAGAGGAAAGAAAAAAAAGTGATGGATGGGTGAAGAACAAAATCCAACAAAAAATATGATAATCACAAGGATTGTTCTTATGTTAGCAAGAATGAGATGCAATAATACAATGAGGTATGTAATAATTAGGTTAAACTACATGAGACTCATACATGTGAACAGGTTTTACTATAACACATTTAGTGAACATCCACAGTATTAACTGAGTACAGCTGATTGCGTGTATACAGAATTTTGCAAGCATTAATGGTAAAAATAAAACTAACAAATATGGAAAAAGTAACAGTGACTCTATATTGTTGACTATTTGTGACATGAAAAACCTCGGGCTTTTGCCAAGATTTCAGATTGTTATACAGATAGTTGTGCAGAAGGAGGCAACACTTTTTAAATAAACCCTCTACATACTGTACCAACTCACAGTGAAGAAGCAATTGGCTTGTTTGTGTCTGAGACACCTATAACATAATAATAGAATCCAGCTTTAAGATGTTAGTACTGAAAAATAACATGTTAGTATTTATAATAATTCAAAATCAATTCATTAACATTAAATGAATATTATTAAATTAATTCATTACACTAATCACAAATAATAACTAAGTAACAAATTATTTTACAATGTAAAACATTAATTTACAGGTTGAACATTCCTTATCCAGAATTCTGAAATCAAAATACTGCAAAGTTCAAATTGTTCACACCTTTGCCTTCTGATGGCTCAATGTATATGAAGTTATTAAAATATTTGGGCTATGTGTGCAAGATATATATGAAACATGCATTTTGAGTTTAAATTTAAGCTGCAACTCTAATATCTCATTATGTACATATGTGCAAACATAAATATTCCACAATCTTGGGCTCCTTTCACACAGCTGAATAAAACCCCACTTTTTCTGCTTTGAACTGGGTTATATGGTAGTGTGGACTCAGATAACCCAGTTCAAAGCAAATACTGTGGGATTTTCTGCATTGATATTCTGGTTTATATGGCTGTGTGAATGTTTCCTTTAAAAAACTCAAAATACTTCTGGTCCCAAGCATTTCAGATAGAGAATACTCAAACTGTACTAAATATGGCCAATGCTGGCCCAAACCTGATGTAATTGCTCCCATAATTTCTTTCAAGCACCTTCAGTACAGTGGAAGAGACGTAGTGCTTCAAATGCTCACTCAGGATGTATTTTTTTGAGGATGTTTATATACCACAAGTCCCTTCCAACAGTACTGTATCTCAACATGAACTTTTTATTTGGCACAAGAGCAGAAAAGTATCTAGGCCAGGCATTCTTGGTAAGACGGAAGGGAGCCACAGTGTTGTACTCAACTCTGATTTAGGATAGCATCCTCTATGCACAGTTATCTATGACTCAGACAATGAAGTACAAATAATGGAATAATTGAATAAGTTTCTTATAAAAACCATGGGTTCATTATTGTACCCATATCCAAATATTACAGGCCACAAGTTGCTAGAAACTTAACATCTCTATTATCACAAAGTATATATTTGATGTATTGATGAAGCCTTTCATGGCCAGAATCACTGGGTTGCAGTGAGTTTTCTGGGCTGTATGGCCATGTTCCAGAAGCATTATCTCCTGACATTTCACCCTCATCTATGGCAGGCATCCTCAGAGGTTGTGAGGAATATTGGAACTCTTGTCTGTAGGAGGTAAGTGTGAATGTTGCAATTAATTACCTTGATTAGAGTTGTAAAGCCTTGCAGCTTTAAGACTTGGCTGATTCCTGACTGTGGGAATCCTTTGTTGGGAGGTGTTAGCTGGCCCTGATTGTTTCATGTCTGGAATTCTTCTGTTTTCAGAGTGTTGCTCTTTATTTACTGTCCTGATTTTAGAGATTTTCTAATACTGGTAGCCAGATTTGGTTGATTTTCATGGTTTCCGCCTTTCTGTTGAAATTGTCCACCTGCTTGTGGATTTCAATGGCTTCTCTGTGTAGTCTGTTAGAGTGGCCCAGCATTTCTGTGTTGGCTTTGTAGCTTCAAAGCCTGGCTGGTTGCTGCCTGGGGGGGAATCCTACATGGCCATTAAATGCTAATCAAGATGATCAATTGCAACATTCACACTTTCCTCAAGCAGGCACGAGTTCTTCCTCTCACCCTGGACATTTCACAGATATATAAACCTCACTTGCCAAGTTCTTAACAGACCTCACAGCATCTGAGGATGCATGCCATAGATGTAGGCAAAACATCAGGAAAGAATGCTTCTGGAACATGGCCATAAAGCCTGGGACTCACAGCAATCCAATATACTTGATGGACAGTTTACAATTCTACAGCAATGTACATAAATAGTGAGCATTCATTCTATGGTCCAGGATAGCATTGATAATATTTTAGTCTCCCAATTGTATTTTAATAGTGGCTGCCAGTAGATACCATTTTAGCCTGTGTGCTGATGTTAATATATTGCTCCTGATTATGAAAGGGTGCAGGTGGATTTCAACTATTTTTTCTCTTAGAAAAAGTGCATTTATTTACCTTCCCCTCCTTTGGACATGTTAATTTCAGAATCATCTCTAACTCCACTTTGGGATTCCAAGTATGTGGCAGGAACCCAGCCTTGCTCTTCTGATGTGCTTACAAACCACCAGCCTGTGAAAATCAAACAGAGAAGGGCTGTCATTTATAAAGAAAAAAGTACCCATAAACAGATTCCCAAATGATTTCTAACTTTTCAACATCAGTATTTGTTTCTTCTTTGAGTGAAACAAGGGCTGTAACAAGACGCTGGGATGTACCCCACACAAACAAGAAAGGATCCTCAAATGTTAAAGATATATGTCACTGAATACCAAAACTAGGACCAACCCGTGCCATAACAGTTCTCATTACTACATATATACATGAAAGGTGGGTAGTGAAGAAGAAAATGGAGTGGGAAATAAATCTGAAATTTGATACCAAAGGTTACAACACAAATCAGTGTTGAACAAAGCAAAACAAGCAAGCCTGAATTCGCACCAAAATGACTATTTGAACAAATAATAAAACAACATGACACATTAGAAAACAAAACAAAACAATACATAGACAGTTGAAGGCATTAGGGAAAAAGGAAGATTTCATTGCAGGTGGAATGACTCAGTCAGGAAGCCACAGTCCTAAGTTTGCAAGACCTGGGAAAAACAGTATCAGGGCCACTTGGAAATCTCTTATTCAGGGATTTGCCAGAAGTTAATGTCACATACCAACAGCATTGTAGTCCTCTTTAGGCCTTACTGGTAAAGGGAAAGAGATCATCTTCAGGGATTTGGTGAAGGGAGAAACCTCCTTTACGCTATATATATATGGAGTTAAACATAAAAATATACCTGTTCTGACTTACATACAAATTCAACTTGAGAACAAACCTACAAAACATATCTTGTTCGTAACTGGGAGACCGCACGTAAGGAACACTGAGGTATCTTATAAATAAGTGACTAGCCAAAGAAGTCAGTGAATCTATACCAGAGAAATTTTAAGTTGAAATAACAGTTTGCAAAGCGGTTTTGGCCTGCCATTGAGCAAGTACAATTCTCCACAAACCCACAGTGAGTGCTATGCATAGGTTTTTGTACGAGATAGATACGATTTGTCCTTTAAATTCCCTACTGAGGCTTTCCTAACCATATTATTCAATGCTACAAAGCTCAAATTCAGAACTCGGAACTTGTTTTGCCAGTTTTTCTCTGAAATATAGATTACAGCACCTGGCATTCATTGGCAGTCTCCCACCCAAGTACTAACCAGGGTTGACCCTGCTTATTTAAAAAAAAACAGACAGAATTTGGTGCTTTCACAGTATTTTGTTTGCCTCTCAGTAAATATGCTTCCCCTGACATTAAGTCTAGTCATGTCTGGCACTGGGGAATAGTGCTCATCTCCATTTCTACGCCGAAGAGCCAGCGTTGTCTGTAGACATCTTAAGACCATGTTACCTTCCCAGTGAAGCGGTACCTATTGATCTAATCATATTTGCATGTTTTCAAACTGCTAGGTTGGCAGAAGCTGGGTCTAACAGCGGGAGCTCATCCCGCTCCCCGGATTTGAACCACCAACCTTTCGGTCAGCAAGTTCAGCAGCTCAGCAATTTAACCCACTGCACCACCAGGCCTCCCCCTCTCTCTATGGATTCTCATATAGAATCATAGAGTTGGCAGAGACCACATGGGTCATCTAGACGATCCCCTGGGATCAAATCCTGTGATATAAGGCAGTGTTGATCCAGCCAGAGACACTGCTAAACTGTTAAGTAGATGGATCCGTCGGTTTTGTTACACTTCCAAAAGCAACTTAAAAAAAGCAAAGCTCCCAGCTGACATCACAGCTATTGCTTAGCACCATTTCATTTTGAGCCCCAAGAGGCAGAGAATTCCATTTTCTGGCCCAAGAGAGATTTGGAAAAGGTTGATTCATAATATTCCCAGTCAGAGAATTTTAAATTTAGCTACACTTTTGCACAGCAGGAGGGAGATTCTCCTGACATGACATAAAAAATAATAAAAAGAAGACCAACAGAGCAAACTCTTTCCAAAAGGTTTTGTGCACATAGGCTGGTGCTGGAAATTAAGAATTATTAACAGCGGGGAAAGAGAGTAGGAGCTCAATACTCATTTGCAATTATGGCACAGAAGTAAACAGACCAGAGACTGATACACATCTGATCATCATTGGATGGAAACAGTCCTATGAATTTTTCTTCAGAAACAAATGTTAACACGAGCAAAAAGGCTATACTATAAAGTTAACACTAATAAAAACCATGATCTTTGAAGCATTTCATTTCACCTGAACTATTATTCCATAGAGTGCAAAAGTTGGGATACACCTAAAAGTCATTTCAACTTGGATCAAAGCAGACACATATAGTTTAAAAGAGTCATGCCAAACCAAATCATTCCATACCCAGCTAAAGGAAGGCAAAGAAAGCAAAGCAAACATGACCCATTAGAAAATTTCCTTTTGGCTCCAAATAAATTGCCTAACACACGTGAGAAAATATACGCACAAGCATGTGTGTGTGTGTGAAAGAGAGGGAAATCTGTATAACAAATTATGCACCCCAAAGGAAAAAAAGTCAGTTTTCTATATAGAACATGAAATAGAAAAACAAACCAAAGCCACAAAAGAGAGTACGCATTACAATATTGCACTGTACCCCATGAAGCAAGATCAAATGTTCAACAAGTGGCATCACGTCAAGGCAAGGAGCAAATGAAAGGCACTTGGAGTGTTGGACTACAATGTTGGAGAACAGGGTTCAAATATCTGTTTGGCCATGGAAATCTACTGGGTGGCCTTAGGCAACTCATACTCTCCTATTCTCAGGGTAGAAGGAGAGTATCTTCTAAACAAATTTTGCCCAGAAAATTCCATGATAGCTTTGCCTCAACTTTGAATTTGTTTTGATGGTTCACCTAGCTGCTAACATCTGCTCTGTTAACCTGTGGTTCACCATCCCCCTTCCAGCAATTTTAGCCCAATTCCAGAGCCTTTTAATGAGATTTTAAGCTTTTAATATATTTATAATTATGTGTATTGTGTCACATATGGTTTTCTTAAGTTGTCTTGTAATGTATTGAGTTGTTTTTTATTTGTTTGTATATTATTGATGGCACTCAATATTTGCCACTATGTATTTGTTGTGAGCCGCCCTGGGTCCTTTTGGGAGATAGGGCGGGCTATAAATAAATTTTCATTTCATTTCAAATACAGTTTATATTTAATCCTGTTTTAATGTTCGTATATTTGTAAACTTTAAATGGCGATGCTGATGCTTTTATGTTAAGCCGCTTTGAGTCCTCTTCGGGGGAGATAAAGCGGGGTATAAATAAATTAAACAACAAACAAACAAAAACTTAGGGTCACCATAAACTGAAAATGACTTGTAGGCACACATCAACAAGAGGTACTGGCAACTGTATGAACTTCTCTTCAAGAAACGAAGTGTTTTGGGACTGGCTCTGGTTCAAAATGTGCTTAGTATTTACTCCAGTTTCTATGAGAAGTGTTATTAAATTTTGAAATGCAGAAAACCTGCTGTCTTTGACCTTGCCATCATATTTCAATTTGTCCTCTTTTTCTGGTTCGGCAATGTTGTAGAAATTAATTATTACCATCAGTAATCTTATTGCCTGCATGTAATATGTGTTATGTACTTTATTCTGGCATTTTTCCTTTCACTATTTTCCCCAGTTCATCTTGTTGAGGGTTATAAATGTAAATAAACAGAAGTTTTACCATAGTTTCTGAACCAACATATAACCTGCACAGTATAATAAAGTGTCACTTGGGCTTGTGTAACAAGTAAAAGTATCTTTACTACAGTTCAAAAGATCAAACAGGGCAACAATATATACAGTAGTCTCTCTGAATTATCACAGAGAACAGAGGGAATAAACAGTCCTTTTAAACAGTCTTTAAATTATGCTTCATGACTTAGAAATGATCAGGCCTCGGAGAGTTGGCAGCCATTCCTTCCTGACTGTTTTCAGTCAGACCTCTCTTCACTCTCCAGGGTGAAAGTGGCAGTTAAAACCATTTGTCTCAGCAGGAAGCCAGAGACAGTAGCCAATCAAAACTCTGGCCCCTGGCATGCTCAGCCAATCAGCTACCGACATGTCTTTTCAGTCAACCCACCACATCATGGTGTCTCTTTACAAATACCGACACATCTGGCATCCAGGTACCGAGATTCTATTTACAAGGTCTACCAAGCCCTCATCTTAATGTTCTTAATATTTAAATGATTCACAGGACATAGCATGATTAAAGAGGCCTACTGAACTGTAGTTGGGAGGCCTCAGCAGAAACAACCCCTAAGCATCCATTGTCAGAAGTAGTTTCCACATGTATAACTTACAGTGTGGCTTTACATCAATGCAAAGGAGGATATGAACAGGATAAAATAAGCACATATTTCCTAAGAACTACAACAGAAAATACACATCACTTTCAAATAATAGAGAATTGGCCCACCAAACGATTTGTTAATACTTGATGAACCTTACAGTCAAACTAAAAGATATATCTAGCACTCATGTTTTTGTACCTCTCTCTTGCAGATGGGTTTTATTGGCATGTTTTCCCTGTGCAAGAAAGTCAACTACTCCCCTAGTAGCAATTTCACTAGTTTATTATAAGTTTTTCGGGCTATATGGCCATGTTCCAGAAGCATTCTCTCCTGGCATTTTGCCTGCATCTATGACAGGCATCCTCAGAGGTTGTGAGATCTCACAACTTCTGAGGATGCCTGCCATAGATGCAGGCAAAACGTCAGAAGATAATGCTTCTGGAACATGGCCATACAGCCTGAAAAACTTATAACAACCTGATGATTCTGGCCATGAAAGCCTTTGACAATACAATTTCACTAGTCCTCTCTTATGCAACTATAGGTCTTGGGGAAAAAGACTCCCACTCCCCAATCCAGGTCTAACTCTCATTCATTTTCTCCCTCTACAATTGTATTTTTGCAGTGTAAAAACCAAAGTAGAGGGTAGGAGAGGGCTGATGCTTTCCCCCTTATCTGCAGTTCTGTAGCGATCTGTGGAAGATGTCCAGCCATCCCAATTTCCTAGTACCAGATGTGAAAAGACATAGTGTGTTGT